AGGAGAGCTACATGTATAGATCAAGGTGCTTATGAAAGGTGAGGTTGGCATGTCCCTGTCTATTGTTCTCTCTAGTTTGACATTTATGGTTATAGATAATAATGATTTCTATTTCTGCCATGCAATCAGTGTTAAGTTAAATGGGAGAGTTTTGGGGAACAAAAAATGATGTGTGCTTCTTAGACTTTGGGGGCAAACATGAATAATGAAACACTTGCTTTCCAGTGTCCTTCATGATTCTAAAGGCCAAATACTACCTGAATAACCAGGCAGAGGAGAGTAAATAGAGAAAGCATTAGTAGGAACATCTGCATTTTCAATGTTTACTAAGCAAACCTATTTACTAAGTAAGGTGGCTGGATTTGAGCCATCATGAATATGCTTTGCATAAGTGACTTGTCTGCCAGAATGAAGGGTCCCTAGAAGTGTGTGATGACAACCAAAATAGAATTGAGGGGCACAGAGGAGGGTGCATGTATATGGCCAGTTCAATAGCTCAATAGCTCCCTGTGGGGCAGGGAGACCATGTCAAGAAATTGTGCAGTATAGAAGACCCCACGAAAGATTTCTAATTCATAATAAATACCTAATGGAGTCAGGTTTTGAATGTATTTTGAGGTCATAGGCAACATTCTTACAAGAGCCATTCACCCCCCCAATTTCCTGGATCTGAATCTGTATGGGAGCAAAAAGTTGGGTGAATAGTAAAGGGAAAAATCATTACTCTCTTGAACACTGCAGACTCCAAAACCAAGGGTCTTCCTTAAGCTGGAGAAAGAAAGGAACCTCCAATTCAGATGAGAAATGGAAGATATGATTGATGTGAATTTTTTAATATCTGTGAGAACTACCCAAAGATTCACCCAGGGACTGGGAAGTATGATCTAGCAAAATACTTTGAAGACCTTGTTTAGAGGAAAAGAAAGTCATTTCCTATTTATGTACTTTAAAATTCAAAGTCTGTTCAATAAACCTGTTTCGACAGTTATTATTGCTGATTGTGGTGGCGGTTTGTGTTGTTTCTGACAATGTTAGAAGTAATAATAATTCCTATTTCAAAATGTATATTCTCCTTGGCAATGTTCTTCAAGTAGAATATTTTGTTTTATATATAATTTGACATGAAAATGAGTTAAAACTGCACTTTAAAATCATGAAATACAGACAGTATGATCAAATTTTGCTCCAACAATAACATACTTAGCTTACAGTGGCATATTCATTAATTTATTCACAAATATTTATTATATTCCTACAGCATGTCAGTTAGTATGCTGGACACTGGGATATAATCATAAATCAAATGAAATTAAACATGAACCTCATGGATCCTGAAGCCACAAAAGGAATACAGGAAGTTATGGGACACCTATAATACACAGTTAAAATTCACACAATTCATAAAACCATAGGGGCATCTATCTATGGGAACTAGGGAATTACCACAAGACTCACCCAGTACATTAAAAGGCCTTGTTTAGAGGGAAATGGACACAGAGTCACTGTACCAAAAGGAAATGGTCAACATTCAACCATTGTACGAGGTAGAATATGATCAAGAACTAATCATACTGAAGGAAAAAGTCCAAGATGCACCGAAGGCATTGGTGAAAAGCATGTCACCAGAAATTGATAGAATACAAATTAAAATCTTTCAACATACTAATGAAGCATTGTAGGCACTGATTTATCTATGTCAAGAAATTTAGAAGATAGCTGTGTGGCCAACCAATTGGAAGATATCCATACTTAAGCCCATTCCAAAGAGATGTGGAAACCACTGAGTGTTATCATTAAGAATTACATGCAAGTAAAATTCTGTTGAAGACAATGCAGCAGTATATCAACAGGAAGCTGCCAGAAATTCAATCTGCATTCAGAAAACATGGAAAAAGGGATATCATGGTTGGTATCAAATGAAATTTGGCTACAAGCAGAAAATATAAAAAATATGTTTACTTGTGTTTTATGGACTATGCAAAGACTTTCAGCTGTGGATCATGACAAGCTGTGGATAACATTGAGAGGAACAGATATTCCAGAACACTTAGTTGTGCTCATAAGGAACCAGTACATAGACAAAGAGGCAGTTGTTAGGTGATACTGAATGGTTTAAAACCAGGAAAGCTGTGTGGCAGGGTTATTGTCTTTCACTCTACTTATTCAATCTGTATGCTGAGCAAATAATCTGAGAATCTGGATTATATGGAAAAGAGCATGGCATTGTTGTTGTTGTTCTTAAGTGCCATTGAGTCGGTGCCAAATGAAACACTGCCTGATCTTGGGCCAACTTCAATATTGTTGCCATGCTTGAGCCCATTGATGCCACCACTTGGCCAATCCATCTCGCTTTCTCTGACCTTCCACCTTATCAAACATGACATCATTCTCCAGCTACTGGTCTCTCCTGACAATATTACTTCGTACATGGTATTAGAATTGGAGAAAGACTCATTAACAACCTGCGATATGCAGATTATTCAACCTTGCTTGCTGAATGAGAAGAGGATTTAAACTACCTAGTGATATGGAGCAAGGACGACATCCGTCAGTATGGACTGTACCTCAATATAAAGAAAACGAAAATACTCACCACTAGACAAATAAATAATGTCATGATAAACTGAGAAAAGATTGATGTTGTCAAAGACTTCATTGTACTTGCACCCACAATCAACACTCATTGAAGCAGCAGTAAAGAAACCAAACAACTTATTGCAAGACCTCTTTAAAGTGTTAAAGAACAAAGATATCAGTTTGAGAACTAAGGTGCACCTGACCCAAGCCATGGTAATATCAATTACTTCATGCCTGTGAAAGTTGGATAATGGATAAGGAATACCACAGAAGAATTGATGCATTTGAGTTAAGGCATTGGAGAAGAATATTGAAAGTACTATGGACAGCTAGAAGAACAAACAAATTTGTGTTGGAAAAAATGCAGCCAAAATGCTCCTTTGAAGCCAGGATGGCAAGACTTTATCTCTTACACTTAGACATGTTATCAGGAGGGATCAGTCTCTGGAGAAAGACATCATGCTTGGTAAAGTGGAGTGTAAGTGAAAATGAGGTAGTTCCCCCAATTAGATGTACTGACACAGTGGCAGCAGCAGTGGGTGCTGCCATAACAACAACAGTGAGGATGGTTCAAGACTGGGTAGTGTTTCATTCCATTATGCATACGGTCACTATAGTTGGAAATGAATTGATGGCAGCTAACAACAGCAAAAGCAGAGGATTCATCCACATGATAGTATGGACCTAAGCCTTAAAATATTTTTCATTTAACACTTTACAGAAAAAGTCTGTCTTCTCTCTTCTAGTCTAGAGAGTTGGCTAGACTGGAAGGTCTAAGAAGGTTTCATTTACTCACTCATATGTCTGGCATTTGGTCTAATGTTGATTGGGTTGCTTCATTTGTCTTCTACATGGCTTTCAGTAGGCTACACTGGGCTTTTTCATAACATGGTAGTCACAGGGTTTCAGGAATATTCAGGGAGAACTTGCACTGCATCACTTTTATGGAAGTAAGTCACAGGACCAGCCGAAATTCAAGGATTTGGAGAAATTAGCATTTACCAATTAGTAGAAAGAGTGGAAATATTAGTTAAGTGCTTGGAGGTACCCCGTTCTGAAAACAAGCCTCCTGTCCAATGGCACCTAGCTCAGGGTCGCTATGAGTCAGAACCAACTTGATGGCACACAATAACAATGATACCTGGTGTGGTGCTTTAGGGTAAGTATTGGACCACAAGGTTGGTTTGTACTGCAAGGTCAGTGAAACAACTCACCTACTGCTCTTCAGAAACCCATAAGGTCACTATGAGTTGAAACTGACTTGACGACATTTAACAACAACCACAATAATATGTTTAAAGGAGCCCAGGTAGCATAATAGATTACTAGCAGATTCAAAGGTCAGCAGTTTGAATCTACCAGTCGCTCAGTGGGAGAAAGATGAGGTTTCCAGTCCCAAAAAGATTAACACCCTTGGAAACCCTAGTAGCTGTGAATATAATCTTATTTGGAGTTAGAATCGTTTCAGATGTAATTAGTTAATACATGGTCATCCTTGAGTAGGGTATTTTCTAACCCAATATGACTGGCATAGTTATTTTCATAAAAGAAGATGATGATTGTTAAGAAGCTCAGAAATAGAGATGCAGAGATGTTGACACAATGATAGCCATGTGAAGACAGAAGCAAAAATGATGCTTTCACAAACCAAAGCTTGTCTGGGGTTACGAGAAGCTGGAAGAAGCAAAGAAGGATGCTTCTCTAGGGCCTTTAGAGAGAGATGGCCTTATTAACACATTGATTTCAGGCTTTTGACTTTAAAAATTGTGAGAGAATAAATTTATCTTACTTAAACTCCCAGCTTCTAGAAGTATGTGGCAGTAGTCCTAGGAAGCTAATACATACTTTCTATATATAGTCATACCTCACTGAAAATCAGGAATGAAGAGTTTCCTTAGAGGCATGCCAAAGAATAGGGATATATTTCTAATTCCTCCAATTTAAAGATGTTCCTATTAAAGCCTGTCGTGGCAAAATGTGCATATACAGCTTTCTCATATCCATGTAACAGAATATAGGATTCTTTGTGGTGAGAAGAAAGGCAGCTTCTGTGGAAGGATTTTGTGTGTGGGTGTGTATGTGATATACATATTTCATCTATCCTTTTATTCTAAATGCATGCTCACTCACATTCTGACAGATAGTACATAAAACATCCTTTACAATAGACCAAGATATCTACACTATACATCCCAATTATACAAAAAGAAAACAGATGTAAAACAGTTTAAAGAGATTTTCTTTCCTAAAATTACTAAGAAGGAATATGTATTGTAACTCTCTTTACTCCTCTTCCATCTACTTGCTAAACTTTATTCATATAATATCTGCTTTTCTTCCTGCAGTCTCCTCTTGTGGAAGACATCTCTATCTACTCAGCCACCCTAAACCTCACATGCCTCCCCTCCTTCTAATCATCAAGTTTAAGACATCTTCCTAAATTTCTCTGAAACTGATGTCTTCTCTATTAGAGTTCCCTTGGGCAAGTTCATTTTTTCAAAGTCTGGCACGTGAGATTTTAATTGCTTTTCTGCAGTTTTTTCTTCTTCAGTCAGTGGTGACAGCTCCAGGTCTGTTAGCTTTTGCATTTCTTGTATCACGGTCATAGTCTTATTCAAAGTAATATAAACGTGGCCTTTCATCTCTTTCTGTTCAACAGCAACTGGTTTAAAGCGTGTAGGCAAAGTTGGATGAAAAGACTTTATTGCTGACAATTTCTTCAAGTGTGTAACTGGATCTTTCCCACCAGCTGAATTAGGATACTTCTTGATTTCATATTCCAGCCTGTATAGAATACAATCCAGATCAGAATCAGCTTCCTGGAATTCAAAATTATGGTATATGATGCCAAGAAACTCAGAGGCTTTTCTTCCCATGGGTCTGCAGCTGCTCTTAGCTGAGCTGAGTTTGGTGGCTCTGCCTCTCACTGTAATTTTCACAGTTGTTGCTCTCCCTGAGCCCATCCATCATTTCCACCACTTGTGCCAATCCATCTCATTGGGGGTCTTCCTCTTTTTATCTTTTCAACTTCATTACTTCCAATATTAACTTCCACCTCCATGTTCAATAGTTGACATTCCTCCAGGAGGATTTCAATGAGTAGACCTTTGACAACTAGCTGTTTTAGTGAATTAGACAATAGATATTTATGAAAAATTATAACTAATATCTGAAAGAAGGAATTGGAGATCAATACAAATAGCAGCTCATGATATTTTGTGGAGAATCCTTAAAGCTTATTTTATCACCTCAGAGGATGTCTTTCTCTGCCATATCTGCATTTATAATATATTTATCACAATTTTAAAAGGTATTTTGATTTTTTCTAAAATAATTCTTATAAGAATATATGAATTTTAGAAAAATGCTAATGAACTCAGTATGAAAGTGTTACTTTTTGACAGCTTCCTTCAAAACAGGCTGTTTTTCCACTTGTCACAGGGCATTCTTTCTTATACTGATTACATTTGACTTGTTGTTGTTATTAATTGTTGTCTAGTTGGTTCTGACCCATAGTGACTCTGTATAGGGTTTCTAGGGAGCACCTGGTACGTTCGAACTGCTTGAACAATTCAGTTGTTAGCCTACAGCTATACATCAGAACTGCTTAATCATAATAATGATGATAAGAAAAATCATCCTTCCCCAATTCAGATTTTTTTCCTAATCCATAGAATGTGGGTAAGAATCCTTCTAGCTCATACATATATAAATCTCTAAATGGTTTAATTGAAGAAGATAAATTACCAATGAAATTTTAAAAGTGTGTGCTGTTCAATTAGCTGAAAGTATCCCAAAAAATGTTATAGTCATCATACTAGCAATTGAAAGATCTCTGTGCTCCCAAGCATAATCTGAGTCTCTACAATGAGCAGCTCAGTGCTTTACTGTTTCCAAATAAATAAAACTGTTTTTCATCCTTCACTAAATCTTATGGCACTTGCCTGCAATATTCATGCATTGAGATTTTCATTTCACATAAGCCAAAAAATTATCCTGTTGCTCTTATTAACAAAGTTCATTTTATTTTATCCATTTCAAAACTACTTTTATTCATTTGTAAATTTTTATGAACTTTAGCTAACTTTTCACAAAGTAATATTAAGGATTTCTTTCCTTTTCTATTAGTTTAAATATTTAATCATCAAAGGGAATTGGGATCCTTCTGGAAAAAGAATAAAATTAATATTTCTATTAGGTATTGCTTTTTAAGACACCTACAGCCCTAAATTTCAGTGGCTGTAGGTTCAGCAATGAACTTTGAACCATAAGGTCAACAGTTCAAACCCACCAGATGCTCCTTGGAAATCCTATACAGGGTCAGTATGAGTTGGAACCAACTTGAAGAGATATAACAGTGACACAGTGCTAGGGTGGTGCTGTAGGATAAGGCATGGATTGCTAATCTCAAAGTTGGAGGTTCAAACCCACCTGTCACTCCTCAAAAACCCTATATATACAGGGTCACTATGAGTCAGAACTGACTCCAAGGCACTTAACAACAGCAACAATTGTGAACAACTACACAGAAAATCAGTGAAATATAGATGACTAGACTAAGACCATCAACCAACTTAATCTGTCACACAGAGAAAACTCTACTCACAAAGCAGAATATATATTATTTTCAAGTATTTATGGAATATTCTCTATGGATAGTCCATAGGCTAGACCATAAAACAAATCTTAATATATTTTAAAGGATTAAAAACATAAGAAGAGGCTTCTGGTTTCCGTGGCAGTGGAGAAAGTCAGGTAGGGAAATTTCTGTGCTAGAGAGGGAGTGGGATCTCATGCAAGAAGCGCTCACAGAACAACTCCAGAGTTCTGGATCTACCATAAGGTCCAAGGCGTCAGTTTCCCAAACTTGCAAGTAAAAAAAATCATGATATTAAGAAAAATACTGCATGTTAGGAATCAGGAGATGGGACTCCCTCTGTGGCTACCCAACCCTGGCAGAGTTTAGAGGGTATGGTTACAGCCATTCTGGCTCAGTGAACCTGCTCTAAAAGCAGCACAGAGACGTGGGAGAATCTACATATTTCTCCTACATCTTCCCTGGAGCGCATTCTTGGCTCAGCCAGGACGCCATCAGGTAGGTGGATGTGCACCCCCAAAAAACAGCCCTGACTCTGCAGTTCCCCCATGGTACAGAGAGAGGGAGCTTGGTGGCCACTAATGACATCAGCTGCAGAAACACAGCCGAAAGAATGATTTGAGCTAGAACCTTGATGGCTGCAGGCGACCCTGTGCGCTGTTTCTGGGACTGTGGGTCTTTGCAGGACCAGAGCACCTCGCCTTTCTCCCGTGGAGCAGCTGGTGGTTTCGAGCTGCTGACCTTGTGGTTTGCGGCCTCATTCATAGTCGCTGTGCTACCTGGGCTCTGTGTGCAGGACCCTTATAATATAATCTATAAAACCCCAACATAAAAGGACTCAACCATCTCGAGAATTGGAGTGTGTACACAAAGACACCTAACCGACCTTCAGAGACAAAAATAGTGGACAATCTTTCTCCCATTAACTTCTCAATATCTACCTGTTCACCTCTACTGTAGAGACTAAAGGAGGGGCCTGAGCAAGCAGACACCCTCACCCACTGTGAGAGGCTTCTGCCTTGCACACACAATGACTGTGTAGTTTTGGACAGTCGACCACAGCTTCATTTCTGTTCCAAAGTGGTGGTATTTTTCTTTGCATTTATATTACTTCTGCTTTTGGTCCTTTTGATCAGACATCTTTCCTGGTTGTGGGAGCCTTTTCTCCCTACGTTACCCAACAAGAGACAAGAAGTGTGGCCATGTAGCCAAGATATAAGCATACCCCATTATATTCCACCACTGAGACAAGAGCCAACAACACATGCTAAGCATTACATGTGAAAAGGGAAGCCTAGCTCCTGATCATATTCATCAAGAGAATTTCAGTAAGCTTAATAACAAACAACAAAAATCCGATTAAACTTTAAAAACAAAAAAGAAACACTTAACTTTCAGAAATGATGAATAAAAAACAACAAACAATATCAAAACATGTCCAAAAACAGAAGAGAGTAGCTGAGACAAATGAGCTGGAGACAGAAAAGGGCTTTCTAGAAGAGGAAGAGCAGGTTTTGAATATGCCTCAGAAAGAATTCAGAAGAATGATATGGAAACAAATTCAAATGCTCCGAAAAGGGGTGGAGGATAACAAGGAAGAAGTCAGGAATGTACTACAAGAACAATCAAACAAGATTGATACAGCATTGGAAACAATTCAAAACCTGCAAAAAGAGGTCCAGACAATTAATAATAAGATATCAGAAATGGATAATTCACTGAAAGGGGAAAGGAGCAGAAGAAAAGAGATGGAAGCCAGAACTAGTAAGCTGGAAAACTAATATCTCAATACTGCTAAGATAGAAGGGCAAGTGGGAAAAAAGTGTTAAAAAAATCTGAAGACAGTCCATGATTCATGCTGGATAACATAAAAAGAAACAACTTAAGAATTATTGGCATTCTAGAACAAGAAGAATCAGAGAACTACACAGAGGAGACAGTTGAAGAGCTTCGGAAAGAAAATTTCCCTAACATCTTGAAAGATAAGAAGATAAACATTTAAGAAACTGAACGTACCCCAGGAAGGATAGACCCCAAAAGAAAGTCACCAAGACATGTAATAATCAAGCTCTCCATATCAAAGACAAGGAAAGAATATTAAAAGCAGCCAGGGAAGAAGAGAAATGTCACTTATAAAGGCAAGCAAATCAGATTAAGCTCTGAATATTCAAAACAAACCTTGCAGGCAAGAAGGCAAAGGGGAGACATATACAAAATCCTACAAGAAAAAAACTGCCAACCAAGAATCGTCAATCCAGCAAAACTATCAATCAAATACAATGGGGTGATCAAGACATTCCACAATAAACAGAATCTGAGAGATTTTATCAAAACCAACCCAGCACTTCAAAACAGCCTCAAGGGAGTTCTGTGAACTGAAAACCAACAAGAACAGACAACAACCAGAGATTGACAGGTGTGGTAACACCACCTGGAACTCAGTCAATGGATAGCAGAGTCCAGAACAGAACAAGACTACAACAACAAACTCAAGAGAGATGGGAGGTCAACCAAAGATCAAAATTATATCAGTGTCAAAGAAGGGACAAACAAAGCAGCAGAGATCCAGGTGGTGAGGATACCAGGTAAATTACAGGATACAATGGATTCTCTTAAAGGGAAAGAAAAGTTAGCAGACTATAAGGTAACCTCAAAGAACGTAAATACTTCACAACTTACCATGAAAATGAACGTCCAAGCAGAACAAGCAAACATGAAAACTAAGAACAAACCAACAAGAAATAACACAAAAAATACAAACCCAACACAAAATGGCATGGAGAACAAAAGAACGAATAGCACTATCAAAAAAGTAACATAATGACAGCAATTAACTCATACCTATTGATAATTAAAATGAATGTCAATGGGTTGAATGTGCCAGTGAAAAGACAGAGAGTGACAGAATGGATAAGAAAACAAGACCCTTCAATATGCTGCTTGCAAGAGACACACCATACACACAAAGACAAAAACAGACTAAAAGTTAAAGGATGGAAAAAAATTTACCAAGCTAACTGCAACAATAAACAAGCAGAGTGGCAATACTAATCTCCAACAAAGTAAACTTCAAGATTAAAAACCAGCATAAAAGACAAAGAAGGACAGTATCTCATGACCAAAGAGTCAATTGAACAAGACAACATAACTATAATAAATATCTGCGCTCCCAATTAAGGAGCACCAAGATACATGAAGCAAACCTTACTAGAATTGAAGAAAGAAATACATAAATCTACAATTATAGTGGGAGATTTAAATACGCCACTTTCGAAAAGGCACAGAACAACCAGAAAGAAACTTGACAAAAATACAAAAGAACTAAACAACACAACCAACCAACTTGACCTCATAGATGTATACAGA